ACATCACCAACAGGAAGCCTACACAAGCATCCGCGACATTATACACATCACCAACAGGAAGCCTACACAAGCATCCCCTGCATTATACACATCACCAACAGGAAGCCTACACAAGCATCCGCAACATTATACACATCACCAACAGGAAGCCTACACAAGCATCCGCGACATTATACACATCACCAACAGGAAGCCTACCCAAGCATCCGCGACATTATACACATCACCAACAGGAAGCCTACCCAAGCATCCGCGACATTATACACATCACCAACAGGAAGCCTACACAAGCTTCCGCTAATTATACACATCACCAATCAAAATGTGTACACATGCATCATCGCCATATCTCAGGCCCCCACTTACTTTTTTGTTACCTACTCATAACTTAGTTGTTTGCATCCCACATAATAAAGGGATGAAATTATTCTACCTAATGCTGATTAAGACAGCGGCCCTCAACCTTCATAAAGCTGTGACTCTTTAATACAGTTCCTTATGCTGTGGCATCCACATACAATTAAATTCATTATGCCTTATAACTTCAATGAATATGTGTTTTCTGATGGTCCTAGGCGACCCCTGTGAAAGGGTCATTTGACCCAAAAAAGGGTCACAACTCACAGTCTGAGAACTGCTGCCCTAAGATGTACACCATTTCCGCCATAATTTACGTCTCTAATACCATTTTGACAATCATTCATACTAATTCATGTCGCATTGTCCCTTTCGCGAAACCTCGCTGGGCCATAAAAGACCCTCCGGAAAACCTTTCCTAGCACTGAGCAAGGTGTCCTGCATCTGATACAACAATCGGCGAGATCATCACTGCCACCATCCTGCACCCCAATCTTCTCCTTGGCCTTACTCTTCCTCTCTTCCCAAGCGAATATACCCCTCCATTATTGTTCTAGCTAGGACTTCCATGGACGTTTCAGTGGGACCAAAAATATTTAAACTTTTTTTGTGTTTATTGTCTTTACTAGCCAACCCTCATTCAATCTATAGCTCTTGAAGTATGGATGATTTTGTTTTCTTCTTTATTAAGATATTCTTTAGAATTGTCTGTAACATTATATTTCCAAATGCAATGATGCGCTGTCCGCTATTGTTTACGTAGTGTTCAGGTCTCACAGGCGTTGTTGCAATGGGAAAAGCTGCATGCTCTTAAAAATTGACCTTGTAATTCTTCTGTACAATTTCCATGATTTATCAGTTGTTTTAGTCTTGAACAGAGCAATTGATAGTCGCCGTTTAATTTCTTTAATTGTGTACACCATTGTTGGTAACCAGTGACCAAAGATACTCGAAATTTTTCCACCACTTACAATCTGCCTTCTGCTATTATTTTTCCAGTCTACTGTGCCAATTTATATAACAAAAATATTTCAGTTTCCGAGAAAAGATGCTGTTTATTAGCCAATCTTCCTCGATGTTTAAATCTTTCAGGATGCCATTATTTCTTGTCTTCTTTGTCCATGGATTCTGAGAATCTTCTTATAGCATTTCAGCTCAAAAGCACCAAATGTCTTTCTTAAGAACTGCAAGATAGTCCACGACTCACACCCATATGTTGTTATAGGAAAGATGCGCACTCTCAAAATTCCGACTTTGATTTCCTTGCTCTTGCTTAACCATAGATTTGTTAATGCTGTTTAATCTTTGTATTTCTATGTCTATCCTCCTTATAACTTCTGTTGAACAGTCTCCTATACTGTTTTTTTTAAAGATATTCAGAGTTTGTGGCATTTTCAATTTCTTTATAATTGTTAGTTTTGGCTGACAGCCAGTTCTGTCTGTGGACATTAGTTTTGTTTTCTTGAAATGCAAGAACAAGTTTTGATCTTCAGTGTGTTTTTGGAAAGATTTGGTTAAAAGACTTCTCTCACCAAATCTGTAATAAAGCAGTTTTCTCTAAGTGCTTCGCAGATAGCTAGACCAGCTTCTTGTCTTAGCCAATTGTCTGATAAGTCCAGGACGGTGATTGCAGTATTTACCTGCAAGAAATAATAACAGATATCAATCAATGCGTGTAATTTATTATACTGTGGGACCTTTTTTTATCTACAACCTAGAGTAAACAAGGGCAGACTTAACTGAAGACATAGTCAATGACATGGAATAAATATGCATGAACAATCTTCAAATATAAGCAAATACTACACTGAAGAATGTTTTCAGTATCATGATTATTGTGAATATGAGACTGAAATGTGCTGTACTAACAAAAAAACTTTTTCTATTTCTGAAATAAATTATGCTCTGACCTTTGTCATGTAGCATTTATATTGCTTATATTTTAAGCTATACAATTTACAAAATTTTCAGGTCATGGATTCAAGTGTGCGTTATCATATTTGTTTGGTCTAAATGCTAAAAATGCAACTAATTTACAACAACTGCTGGATATTGTGGGGATGGAGAGTGCTAAGAAAGGACTTTCATTGAATATTAAGAAAACGGAAGTAATGGTTATATCAAAGAAGAAGATAATTCCACGTTGTGATATCTCAGTTGAAAAAAAAGACTTAACCAAGTCAACAAATTTAAATATCTTGGAACAATCATATCATCAGATGGAAAATGTGTGACGGAGATTAAAAGCAGAATAGGTCAAGCGAAAGCTGAATTTCAGAAGATGAAAAATATCTTATGCAATAAATCGCTCTCATTTAATGTCAGAAAGAGGGTACATAGAACCTGTTCTGTCTGCTGTATGGTTTTTTGGAATGTCACTGAACAAATTAAGAAGAACTTGGAAGCAACAGAGATGTGGTTTCTGAGATTAATGTTACGAATACCTTAAACGGCCAGAGTAACTAACAAAGATTGCTTGAAAGAGGCTAATGAAAGTAGATCTCTATATACAACAATTAGAAAGAGACAAACACTGTTCTTTGGCCACAAAACGAGAAGAGAGACATTGGAGAACATCGTGACAACTGGAAAGATCAGTGAAAAAAGGGGTAGAGGCAGACCAAGACAGAGGATGCTGGATGGGCTGAAACGATGGCATGGAGGGATATCATCAAGAGAGCTGTTCCAGGCAACCAGGGATCGTGATCTGTGGAGACGCAGGAGCGCCTATGCTAGTTGGCAAGGCACTGGATGATGATGATGAAATGCATACAGCTAAAATAACAGAAATGAAATTTCATGACAAATCCTAAATGTAAACAGAAGAGACAGGATCAGAATGACAACATCACGAAACTCATTGGGATGGAACAGTACTAAATATCATCAAGAGACAACAGATCAAATGTTTTGGACATGTTTCAAGACCACTAACAGATAGTGCACCATACACTCAAACACATCTGAAACACCTAGAGGTACACCATGCAAGACATGAATAGATGGAATATCTGAGGCTGTAAGTACCAGCATCTGTGTAGCACATACCAAGGCTGGCACCTAATGCCTCTTCCAAACCTGACACTAAAAGGCTTTCAGGACTTGAGAAGAAAAAGAAGAAACATATATTGCAAATTAGTTTTAATGTTTCTTTTCGTGTCATTAGGAATATACAGGTGTACCAGTGTGTGTATGTGTATGTATGCGTGTGTATATGAAAAATCGACACTGTTTGCTGGACAATGTCTTTATACGTGTAGTGAGTGACTGAGTTAGTTACATCATCTAGAAATGGATGTTATTGATTAGATTAGAGATGACAAGAAAGAGCAGAGAAAATCGCTAAACTGTGAAAAGACAGTTTTCTCCCTTATGTTTATGTCTTTAATGGTCTTTGCAACCATGAATGACTTGTTATGTTAATATGCAGTGAAACATTGTGTTGTTTATATGCAGTGAATTAAATTGTTTTACTGAATGCGGTGAATTAACTCTTTAAGGACGGCATGTTTTCTGGGGTTTGGACAGCATTAATTTTGAGCAGAATTTTTTTTACAGCAACATTACAAAGCTAAAACTGTCCTGTTAAAAAACTACTGGCTGTAATCCATGTAATACATCAAAATAAAGAAAAATAAATGCAGAATGCATGTTAACTATCTAAGGATCAGTATTGCAACAATATCATATTAAAACAACACCCTATTTGATGATGTTAGAAGCACAGGAATTGTTTTTTGATAAGAAATATTGCGTTTACCTCACTTTTTTGCTGGATCAAAAACACTTCTCCTCATTCTTAAGAATTCACATGCATTCTCTATTCAATTATGTGTCAGCTAGCCTTTATTTGAGACAATTATCCGGAATACTTTGCATTTTATGACAATTCTTATGTGTCATGTCAAATTTTAGAATAACCGAATGAAAATGAGAACTGAATTACTGAATTTTGTAACAGCAATATGACAAAGCTAAAACCATCGTGTTGAAAAAGTACTGGCTGTATAGTACCATGTAATACATCAAATAAAAGAGAAATGAATGCAGAATGCATGTAAACTATCTAAGGGTCAGTATCGCAACAATAACATACAACAGTGACACCACATTAGAGGATGTTAGACCCAAAAAAAATATTTTAGACATGCAACGTTGTTCTTACCTTATTCTTTTACTTGTTCAGCAGCATAGCTATCCATTTCTAAGAATTTACATGCCTTCTCTATTCAATTATGCATCAGCTAGTCTTTCTTTGAAACAATTATGCCAAATACTTTGAATTTTATCATTATTTTTGTCTGACGCGTCAAATTTCAAAACCACCAGGGAAAAAATATTTACATAATATGTAAGGGCAATTCAAGTGACGACTTAAGACTCTATTTATCTGACAATGATGATGATATTGATCTTGAATACAATCACCTTACTGGGTGTGATATGCCCTAAAACATGCATTGGGGTACAGATGAGGCTTGTCAGCACATCCAACACAGTAAAACCTGCTGCGTTTTCACATCTTGTTCTTGCTGCCCTGTACACATTGCCTGTGTGCACCAGCATAGTCAACTAAACGGTCTGCCCCAACATAACTGTCAGACAAGGCTGGCCTTTTGCCTGTCTGCGAGCCACAGCAATGATCATTCTGTTGGAACTTCATGACCTGAGAGCGCAGTTGGTTGCTGGATGAGCTGGTCTTTGAAATGTGCGAGACTCATTCGCTTGGAAGCAGCATGATGGGATAACATGTACAAGATGTGAGCATTGACCTGCGTCACTTTCACGATCCACGTGAAAACCTTTTTCCACCACTTCTTAGTTTTGTGATTGTGGCTACTATAGTACGAGACCATTTGAACCAAACGATCACAGCCATTCATACTCATATTGTATGAGTGAATGAAGCTAGGTTTCTGAACCTTTTGACTCCCTTCCTGGGGTTCCTCAAATGTAGAGCTTCCATTTGTGGTCAGTAGGATGCAAGGTTTTTTTTAATTTTTTATCCTTCCAGGAAATGCAAAGGATATTCGGCTCCTTATTAACTAACCATCTCAGAGTTCCAAAGATGGTTGGTTGTTGTTTTAGCTACTGCGGCAATCCTTTGCGGTTTTTATTCACCGTGCCAGGATAATTCAATTTCATGGATAAAAGAAATTGAATGAGAGGGAGTGATGTATAAAATCTATCTGCAAATAGATGATGGTAACTTGCAACACCCTGCAGTAGGGTTGAAAATACTTTTACAGCAGGAGTTGATGTTGGATCAAGCTCAGGATTGTAGGCAGTTTTTGACCCAAAGTAAATTAGCAGATTATAAACATAGCCTGTGATTGAATCACAAAGACCAAATGTCTTTATATGATACTTGTGAGGCTTAGCTGCATTGTACTGTTTAGCATGAAACCTGACCTTGAAGCCAATCACCATCTCATCAACAGAAAGATTTTCATATGGGTAAAATGCTGACTGAAACTTTGCTACTAGATTATTCACAAATGGCTCAATCTTTGCTTGGCCTTGTGCGTTGGGTTCTGATGCATGCAGCACTGACTGGTAAACAAGCAGGAACTTAGTTCTTGGAAACATTACCTTGAACCATGGTGTCAATTTGTGGTTCGCTGTAGACCAGTAATCTTTGATGTCATGTTTCGGTGTAATTCCCATCGCTATCACTACACTGAGAAACTGAAAAAATTTTCTCTAGTCATTGGCTGCCACTCAGACAATGTAGATCTTTTTCTCAGTGGTATATTTTTCTTAATTTTTTCCACTGCAAAAAGATTTATGTTTTCAACAAGGCTGTCACTGATATCAGCTGTCAGCAGTGTCAATAAGCAATCCAGTGGTGTTGAATTTTCATCCAGTGGTGCCCGAATTCCAGACCCAGCTGATCGAGACAGGGACGATCTGATCGAAACATTTTCTTCAGCTTCATCCCAAGCCATAAAGTCAGCAACAGATACTGCACGTGCATTATTATTATTCATAAGGTGAACACTATTGTTGTCACTATCTGGCTCAGATTCATCAACGACAGCAGCAGTATGGGCAGTTCATTGATGAAGCTCAAAAACGAGACATACTGATTGTCTTAGGAGATTTCAATGCAAAAATAGAAAGAGAAAACATCTATAAAAATGTAGCAGGCATGGATAGCCTACATTCTAGTTGAAACAATAATGGATGGAGATTAATCAACCTCACCGTAGCGAGAGGACTACAAATAAACAGCACCAGATTTCAGAGAAAAGTTATACATAAACAAACTTGGCAATCATGTGACAGAATAACTTATATGCATAAACAAACTTGGCAATCATGTGACAGAATAACTTATATACATAAACAAACTTGGCAATCATGTGACAGAATAACTTATATACATAAACAAACTTGGCAATCATGTGACAGAATAACTGATATACATAAACAAACTTGGCAATCATGTGACAGAATAACTTGTATACATAAACAAACTTGGCAATCATGTGACAGAATAACTTATATACATAAACAAACTTGGCAATCATGTGACAGAATAACTTATATACATAAACAAACTTGGCAATCATGTGACAGAAAAACTTATAATCAGACAGATTACATTTTCATAAATAATAGAAATGCATTGAACATATAGGAGCTACACTGGAGCTAAGTGTCATAGTGACCACTACTTGGTTGGTGAAAAATTAAAAATCAAGTTAACTCAAACAAATACTTCTACACCAAGTTGCAAAGATCACATCCAGAGTACAATAGAGAAAGATTACAAGAAACATCCTTATCACAGAAATTTGCTGATAAATTAAAACATAAAATTGAAATTTTACAAATTTGTCAGAGGAAGACATTGACCAAACCTGGTCAATATCACTATTATCTACAAGCTATATGATACTATTGACTGTACTGCTAAACAGGCTAAAACCATATGCTAACGTGGCTCCTGACTAGAGACTGTTAAAACACTGATTGTCTTAAAAGAATCAGCTCAGAAAATGGGACTAGTTCTCAATCAAGATAAGACAGAATACACGATAATAACAAGACAGGAAAAGGATATAAACTCCAGCCATATACAAGTTGATAAAATAAAAATCAAACGAACCGAAACATATAAGAACTTCAACTGCTCCAACATGCTGAGTGAAGAAATACAATCTAGAATGCAATCTGGAAATAAAGTATACTATGCCCTTTAAAATCTGCTGAAGTCAAAGTGTCTGTCTCGGAACACCAAGATCAAAATATATAAAATGTTTATAAGACCAGTCATTTTATATGGTTCTGAAACTTGGAGCACAACTAAAAGAAATTAAGCCTTATTACAGTTTTTCGAAAACACAGTCTTACGACAAATCTTTGTACCCATCAAAGATGCAAACGGCTGTGAACTGAGAGTGAGAAGCAACAACTAAATTCATAATCTGTTTAAATCACCATTGATCACTGGCATCATGAGAGCTAATAGACTGAAATAGTTGGGGCATATTGAGAGAATGTCAGATGACAGAGAAGTAAAAACTGTATACACCAGGGAGATAAATGGTCGCAGACTAAGAAGACGATGAAGAGATAATGTCCAGACAGACCAGCAAACAATTTGTGTCACCAATTGGAAAGAGAAGGCCAACCAGAGAGATGAATGGAGGCCGGTGATATCTGCAGCAATGAACCTCAAGGGCTCGGAATGCTGAAGAAGAAGAAGAATTTAATGGTCATGATGACTGGCTCTTTCTGATGTTTGTGATAAGTTTTCTTTGAGCACCATAAGTAATAAATAACCAAACTCTTGAAAATGTAGAACATTTCACATATCTTGGCAGTATGGTGTCCCTGCCGGGAAGGACCGAAGAGGACATACAGTCACGTCTGAACAAAGCTAGAGCTGCTTTTGGAAGGATGAGACAAATCTGGAAATCCAACAATTACTGCAGAGGAACAAAACTCTGATTCTACAAGAGCATAATTTCGCGTTTTTCTTTATGGAGCGGAATGCTGGAGAATAACCAAAAAGGATGCACACAAGCTGTCCACCTTCCACCAAACGTGTCTACGTAGAATTATCAAAATTTTCTGGCCAGATACAATCTCAAACACTAAACCATCACAAACCAAGAAACTTTAGACAGTATGATAACCAAGAGAAGATGGAAATGGCTTGGCCACGTTATGAGAATGAATCCTGATATACCCGCCAAAACAGCTCTCACACGGACACCAGAGGGAAAAAGAAAACAGGGGCACCCAAAAAACAACATGGAGACGAACGATAGAAAGTGACCTGAGTGTGGCATCTTTGACATGGAAAACTGCACTGAAGATTGCACTGGACAGGAAAGCATGGAAAGTCCTCTTTGAAGCCTCATGTGCCACTAGGCATAACGAGAACTGATGATGATGATGATTCTTTGAGCACTTGCCTTTTTTTAAAAAAACAATTATTTTCTTTTCTTAGCTGTCCAAGAAATTCTAAGGATTCTTCTATAAAACCACATCTCCAAAGTCTCAAGATATTGTTCGGCTTGTTATTAATTGTCCAGGATTCCTAGCCGTATGTTAAAACTGGCTGTATGTAACATGCAAGAATACTTTTTCAAACCTCCAATGATATGGATTTATTACACAAAATGTTCTTCATTTTATAAAAGTCAGTTTTGGTCTGTCCTATTCTGTTGTTTTTCTCTGTGAAACATCTTCCACATTTTAAATTCATGTCTTTAACATGGAATGGCAAACTACTGGATGCAAATTTGCCTAGAGAAACTACACAACAGCCAGGGGCTGCTGGAGTTGGTTCTGCAACGTCCTGTAAAGGATACGCAACTAACCTTTAACATGGTCAACAATTTTTACAAACATGTTACTAATGCCTCTCTATGGTAACAATAAACACACTACTAGGAACCAACCGCTAAAGAGGCAGCAACAGCTTTCATTTCATCTCCTGTCAAGTCGTGATGTTTCATCGACAAATGACTGTCATTGATGTGTCTTAAAAAGTATGTCACTGGCACTACTTTGAACTTTCTGCACCCTTCTAGATATGCTGTCTTGCCAGTATCATCATAAATCATTGGAGAATCTGCAATTTTCAAGAAATAAAAAGATGAATATTATAAAACAAATAATTTTGCAAAACTATCTTTCAACATTTCCTCTTGTGTGAAAATTGAGGAAATAATAAAACTTCTGGAAGAATTAAACATTGATAGAAAAGAAAGAACATGCATTGGCAGCAAAAAGCAGCCATAAGGATAAACATTAATCAGAGAACATTTCAGAGTTAAAAGAGGGTGTACAACAAGATGTGTACAATGACCTGATTTGTTGTCATGATACAATGAGTATACAATGAGATCTACCATGGATATGCCAGAATCTGTCAAGGCAGTTATAACAAGAACAACCTACATGATGAAAGCAATGTTTCTCTGTTGTAAATAAGATCACAAGTAAGATACAATGGATAGATTGCACAGTTGACTGCCTGGCATATTTTGCCGGAGAATACTACAGTAGCAATTAAATAAAACCAAGCAAATAAGTGAATCCTTTACAATGAAAGTACAAATTCAACCACTCTCAAAAGTATGTGTCTGTATTACCAGGGCAAGCGCAGGCTCATTATCATGTCTTTCTGTTTTCATAGTTCTGGGTGAAGTAATGAATATTGGCAGGTTGAAGACATCTTAGCATTCTGCCACTGGGTGATATATGAAGAATTTGAACTGAGCTGTCCTTGTTTACAGTATGTCTGAAGTTTTAAAGGTGGCATGGAATGGATGAAGGCTGGTCTTTCTGACCGGTCAACTGGTCCTGTTTGTTGAATTATTGTTCTGGTTGTTCTTATTCTCATGTAAATCATTTTGATTTTTACTTTATACAGTTTTTTCTGCCCATACTGTAATGTGTTCAGTTATTCATTTATCAGTGGCTGATTAGTTCTGCCCACAAAAGAAGCTTCACAACTGCTTTGAAATTGACAGATATAACATCGACAATGGTTCTTTCACTGAGGGAGTTGTATCAGGGTTGTTTTAAACCTGATGACAGTCACAGCAGAATATACATTTTGACTGGCTGCTGTTTTGAGCTGGATGTACAGATGTTTTATAGCAACATCCCCTCCAATATTTATTAGCAAACTAGTTGAAGTAAATATATATCTAAAACCCTAATAAGTCCTTAGGAACCTTAAAACCAACACCAGTGAACACTTCTTGTTCAATCAGTTTCGTTAGGAGTTAGAGTATTCTAGGGGAAGATTCATCGGCTGTGGTTCTCTAGGTATACATGGGAGTATATACTCTAATCATTTTGATTAGCCTCTTTAGCTTTATTAGTGGTTGTCAGAAAATGACCTCAGTGTTTTCAGAAGTTAATGTTTCAGGAAAATAACTCAGAACTATATTTACTATGCACTAAGCCTAATTACTCAAACGCTGTGGGATTTAAAATTATTTCCAGTCTTAGCCCAGACAAAGATCTAGATTACATAATATTACATAATAATAGATTAGTAGTATTTACTCTACCAGGGGAAACCAGAGTGTTATAATAGGCCAGACTGGGCCCTTTGAACAGGCCAGATCAACAAAATTAACTTGGTCAAGTAGGAAACTCCTGACATGATGGCTCCCCTTGATGAGTTGTTCACACCTTTCAGTGAGACTGGGGAAAACTAGATTTTCCCATTTAAGAATTTTTGATTAGAGATGGGCAGTCAGAAATGACTGACAGGCACAATGAAGGGTAACTGTAGTTTTAAGATACCTCAGGGGGAGGGCTTAAACCCTCTCCTGTAAGACAATTTGCAGCTAATGCTGCAGACAGATGAGGGGAAAAGATTATCATAGCTAGGAGTTTGAATTTAATTCAGTTTGCAGACCAGCCTGCCACCAACACAAATCAACAGTACATTTTAGTTGAGTGTCTTGTGTTTGGAAAACTGCTGGAATTTTCACAGGTATGAATAAATAAATACATTTTACTCTTTTATTTATCTGTTAGGAGTCTAGCTATTCTACTCTACCTTTTCTTAATTATTTAAATACACATTCTGCTTGAAATAGTTCTTTGTGAGTTTTCAGTTATTTCTGTTAGGGAGCTGGTAAACTACTTCTATTTCTTGAATGTTTATATTGCATGGTTTTCAGTATATGTTGTCATGTTCATAAAATAAGATGAATAATGATATTTAACTCTTTGAGTCCCAGGGGGGTTTAGCATCAGAGGCCCAAGGGGTGGTAACGCAATTTTTTTATTTCACAAGTGTAACACATTAAAACAGACCAAACTAATTATATCAGCAATATACACATATTGTACATCAAAGTGACCAAGGATTGTTGAGAAATAATTATTGAATACAGCTACAACAAATAATTGCGTTAATAATTAAATATTAGTAAATAAACAGACAGTATGTTTACAAAAATTAGTAAAATAAAATTAAACAATTTCCACTTACCACTATAGCACTCATGGAAAACTGGTTAAAATATATCCAAAATGAATATGAACCACTTAGCAATGTAGTGTACAAACAAACTTCTCCCATTGACTGGCAACATGCAATAATTTTACCATTGTGGAAGAACAAAGGATGCAAGCTCTTAAAAATGCAGTCATTAGCAAGGCATCTATCTCTCTTTCAAGTCATGCTGACAAAATGTATGCTATGATCACAGGAATGAGGCCGTGACTAGTGACAGAATGACAGTTGGCAGAAGAAGAGATGGGATTTAGGAGAAGCAAAAGCTTTACAGATGCAATGTTCACACTTAAACAGTTAATAGACAAGAACATCAGATATAATGTATACAGGGATTGTAGAAGCATAGTTAGAAGAACTTAGAAACATCTAAACCATTCACATTAACATCTGCAGTAAGACAGAGATGTGCTTTTTTAATCACTGCTGTTTAGCACCTGTACCTAAAGTATACACAAGGACGCCAAGCCCAGAAATGAAAATATTAGTAACATCAATAAATTCATTTGTTGATGACCAGGCCTTGACAGCAGATACAGCCATAAAATTACAACATTTAACATCCATGAATAAAGAGAATAAAACAAATAATATGAGAATTAATACTGAAAGGACAGAAGTAATGTCATTAAGAAGAAAGAACAGAACCTAAATACAGTAGTCGAGTGCAAAGACAATAAACAGGCATTTGAGTTGAAATATCTGTCAACAATATTCACCAAAGATGGGAAATTGGATACAGAAATTAACATCTGATGCTGTATGTCAAACCAAGTACTGGAGCAGACCGTTTTTCTTCGTCTTTCAGGCAGATGAGTTTCCTATCTATGTTGACCAGGCCCAAAGTAGGGAACTTGTTGCTAGGATGACCACGGAGATGTCTTGACCCGTTTTAGCCCTAGTTCTGGGGCACCATTGCATGTGGCAATGCATTTCTTTATTCTGTATATCTTAATGCATCAACTAATTATGTAGTTAAATGTTAAGGTGTGCCTGCAGCCAAAGTAATTTGTTTCATTAACAGGATGTTGTGTTTACAATGTTAGAGTTGATAGAACTGTCACATCTAGTTATGACCACTCCATGTTCTGTAATCTATTCTACCTGGCTATTATTATTTATTAAGAGAATGCCTTAGCCAGAGGTGCACAAGTCAGTATCCAAGTCACGAGCAACATTAACCAGGGCATTAATACTTCGTCAAGCTGAATACTTTGTTTTCTTTCAACATCTCTTGTTGCAGGCAACAAAAACTGAAATAGCTACTGCGTGCATTTATAAACCACATGTCCAACATAAACAAAAATTACACAATAATATATATTTTAATGAATTCCTACCATCTGTTTCAAGATCTGTGTCCCATTCTTTATCATTACCCTTGTCTTCAGAATCAATCATATCATTATAGGAATGACAGTCCTGATGACGCTGGTCTTCTAGATCACAATGAAAATTTGTCTCTTCAGAGTAAACAATGCTCTCCTGAAAAATCTCTGACTTCTGGATGATTGGCTGTAATACATATAAAAGCATTTTATTGATCTGACACAGAACAATGTTAACAGCGATCGTCATTTGTATTAAAATATATTTCCCTTTCTTAAAAAAAAATTATGCAGATTAATGAATAAATGCTATGGCCAAACAACATCTATACAGCCAAACAATCTTCAAAAATAAAAAACATTCCTAAGTCTAGCAAGCATAGTGTTTGCTGAATGTTTGGTCAACTGATTGGTTTGTTTCACTCCCTTTTTCCCTTCTAGGCTGCAATGCAAAAGTTTACCACTCCAAGAGTTAGCAATTCTAAATCTGAAAGGCAGAACAAAAAAAAAAAGCAGATCTCATACACCCCGTTTAAATGACAGAGATGTTGCTATTCTGGCACTTGTAATCATCTGCAGTCTTGTGCAGTTAAGGAACTTTTGTTATAATTTCCTTCTGACTTTATATCTAAGTGTGGCATAGGTAATTTACCAACTCTGTCAAGTACTCTAATAATTTACTATTCCCTATAGTTTTTCCATATCTTTCCCATATTACTTATCTTTTCCTGCATTTATTTTTCAGTAAAGCTGAAGGTATAGAACTGATCTGACTTTCTCCAAAGCTGAAGGTATAGAACTGATCTGATTTTCTCCAAAGCTGAAGGTATAGAACTGATCTGACTTTATCCACCTCATTACTCCTTTAGATGAAAAATATCTACTCCTGAATACATGTCTATGGTCACAAACTGTTTTATGAATGGATTAAAATAGTGAAGACAATTTGGTTTTGTTAGATTAGGAAGTGCTGAAACTGAGTTTAAATGAAAAGAAGCATGCTTGCTTGTGGTACACAGCTGGTTACAGGTTCCCAGGTTGTATTATTTTTATACACAGCTGGTTGCAGGTTCCCAGGTTGTATTATTCTTATACACAGCTGGTTGCAGGTTCCTTGGCTGTATTATTCTTATACACAGCTGGTTACAGTTTGTTTTGTTGTATTATTCTTATACACAGCTGGTTGCAGGTTCCCAGGTTGTATTATTCTTATACACAGCTGGTTGCAGGGTCCCATGTTATATTATTCTAATACACAGCTAGTTGCAGGTTCCTTGGTTGTATTATTCCTATACACAGCTGGTTGCAGGTTCCTGGTTTATATTATTCTTATACACAGCTTGTTGCAGGTTCCAGGGTTGTATTATTCTTATACACCGCTGGTTGCAGGTTTTTTGGTTGTATTATTCTTATACACAGCTGGCTGCAGGTTCCCGGGTTGTATTATTCTTATACACAACTGGTTGCGGGTTCCCAGGTTGTTTTATTCTTTTACACAGCTGGCTGCAGGTTCCCAGGTTGTATTATTTTTATACACAGCTGGTTACAGGTTCCCAGGTTGTATTATTCTTATACACAGCTGGCTGCAGGTTTTGGGTTGTATTATTCTTTTACACAGCTGGTTGCAGGTTCCTTGACTGTATTATTCTTATACACAGCTGGTTACAGGTTGTTTGGTTGTATTATTCTTATACACAGCTGGTTGCAAGTTCCTGGGTTGTATTATTCTTATACACAGCTGGTTGCAGGTTTCCAGGTTGTATTATTCTTATATACAGCTGGCTGCAAGTTCCTAGGTTGTATTATTCTTATACACAGCTGGCTGCAGGTTCCCAGGTTGTATTATTCTTATACACAGCTGGTTACAGGCTCCCAGGTTGTATTATTCCTATACTCAGCTGGTTGCAGGTTCCCAGGTTGTATTATTCTTATACACAGCTGGTTGCAGGTTCCCAGGTTGTATTATTCTTATACACAGCTGTTTGAAGGTTCCCATGTTGTATTATTCTTATACACAGCTGGTTGCAGGTTTTGGGTTGTATTATTCTTATACACAGCTGGCTGCAGGTTCCTTGACTGTATTATTCTTATACACAGCTGGTTGCAGGTTTCTTGACTGTATTATTCTTATACACAGCTGGTTACAGTTTGTTTTGTTGTATTATTCTTATACACAGCTGGTTGCAGATTTCTTGGCTGTATTATTCTTATACACAGCTGGTTGCAGGTTCCTTGGCTGTATTATTCTTATACACAGCTGGTTACCGTTTGTTTTGTTGTATTATTCTTATACACAGCTGGTTGCAGGTTCTCAGGTTTTATTATTCTTATACACAGCTGGTTGCAGGTTCCTGGGTTGTATTATTCTTATACACAGCTGGTTGCAGGTTCCCATGTTGTATTATTTTTATACACAGCTAGTTGCAGGTTCCTTGGTTGTATTATTCTTATACACAGCTGGTTGCAGGTTCCTGGTTTATATTATTCTTATACACAGCTGGTTGCAGGTTCCCGAGTTGTATTATTCTTATACACCACTGATTGCAGGTTCCTTGACTGTATTATTCTTATACACAGCTGGTTACAGGTTGTTTGGTTGTATTATTCTTATACACAGCTGGTTGCAAGTTCCTGGGTTGTATTATTCTTATACACAGCTGGTTGCAGGTTTCTTGGTTGTATTATTCTTATACACAGCTGGTTGCAGGTTTTTTGGTTGTATTATTCTTATACACAGCTGGTTGCAGGTTCCCAGGTTGTATTATTCTTATACACCACTGATTGCAGGTTTCTTGGTTGTATTATTCTTATACACAGCTGGTTGCAGGTTCCCAGGTTGTATTATTCTTATACACAGCTGGTTGCAGGTTCCCAGGTTGTATTATTCTTATACACAGCTGGTTGCAGGTTTTTTGGTTGTATTATTCTTATACACAGCTGGCTATGGTCACACGCGGAATATTTTCACATTTCGGATCTATACAAACCAAAAACTGTTTTCAGTACTTTTTGGCAAAGTAAAATACTCAAAATTTTAAAGCTATAGATGGTGGTCTAAAGGATGTTATGTTGAGAAGCTTGCTTAGCTACGAAATACGCTGGCCAAATTAGAATGAGCTGAAACCAAGGAGGAAACAACATAAATAAAAAGGCAAGAAGAACACAGTAGACAACGGGATAGGGAACGAGCGGTCTGACTTGGAGGAAAAAAGCATCGAGCCCAGAGACGGCGCAAATACCAGAACTTTAGACAACAAAAGTGGAGCAAAGAAACAAGACCGCAAATATAGCCGGAGTTTTGGATTTTTCTTAAAAGGAATTGGAATTGGAAGAATGAGAAGAGACAGAGACAATAATGGCAGCTTTTTAATGACTAGAGAGTAGTAAAGTATGACAACTGTAAATACAAGAGACTCATGAAGCATGCGTTAAAAAATAGACACCAGTGTCCTATGTGCATTATTTGGTATTACCCATATCTGGAGCATATCGATGATTTTTGTCCAGGACATTTGTTTGTGAGGGGCAGTAAGCAGGCTGATAGACTGTTGCAGATGAAAAGACAGGTTTTCAATCTGACTGAAACTGGCACCATTAGAATACATCAATGATAGTCAATAAGTAAATACAACATTTAAGTTTCAATTACTTAAATAAATTAATGCCAACCTCGTCTTGATCTTTGCTGAAGTGTTCTGGTATTGAGCCTTTACAAAGGTTTTCTGGTATCTGTATACCTGAGTTCTGTTTCAGTCTGCTAGCCAAGCATACTGCCTCCGAAGACAAGATAACCTCAGAAGTTCGGCCATCATCTATTCTTTTATCAACTTCATGTGTATCCAACAAATCTTTATGTGTGTTTTCATCTTCCTCCAAAACAGCATCAAGTACTGATACAGATATCAAGGTTGGTGCTGTACTGTTATTATGTAATGCAAAATGGGCTTTATCTTTAACTTCCGGGTGAAACTGTTGTAACGATTTATCCATAATGTAATCAACTGTTTTGCAAGCACTTTTTCTGTTAAAGAGATATAGAGATATATTTTAAAAAGTAAAAACCGAAACGTGTATAATATAGACAAGGATGGAATGACAAATAAGAGTGTGTAACACATATGAGGCATGTTTAAAACATGAACAGAGAAGAAGGCTGGATATTAGGACAGAGCTTGGGACCTCATCAGGTAACACCCTAAAGACAGCAGCAGAAACCAGTACGGCCTGAGGAGAATGGCACTGCAAGGAGTTACAAGGGGATCTGACTGACGCTCAACACTCAGGGGAAAGGCAAGACAATATACAATCAGACAGTTACTGGTACATTAAGAATTGTAACTCTTTGCTTGCTGCTGAAGATAGGGACAGAGCGCTTATGGGGGTGTCCCGAGTGCTGTGATGTCGATTCTTAATTCAACATTCAACAAGACAGCAGCAGAGAGCAGAAAGTATAAAAGGTGATCAAGGTCATTCTTTACCTCCAGGAGAGAGATCTGTACAAAATCTCATCTGGGAAGAGACGACTTATAAACTGACTACAGCAGTGAACCAAATATAGGAAAGGTAGCAAAACACTAGAGAATACACAGGGGACAAAGAGATGAGCAGAGTTGAGTTGAGTCAAGAATTGACATCACAATACTCTGGGCATGAAACAAAGAAATATGTCATATGTGCAGTTGCTAAAGAAGCAACAGGTTTTTTTTTAAATTCAAAGGAGACTGGGCGCCCAGATAAAAAAGCAATACAAGAGAAGTAAGAACAAAAAAAATGTTTAATTCAACACATCAGACTAGAAAAACATACAACAGGAAACAGTTTACCAAATTTAAAGACATAAATCATAGTGAATAAAACTGATATAATACAAATAACGGATTAAAGAAGATTTATGCTGGGACAACTGGGGCACTAAAACAAAAGTGTATAATACTAATGAAAGACAAAGGCTGGATTAGCAAAGGCTCTTATCGAGACATAAATGATAAAATAATTCTGTCACACAGAAACACTTTGCTGAATTGTTAAATTGTGAGACTCCACTTAATACTTATCCACAGGAAGAGATATTACCAAGTGAACCAAATATAAAGGAGCCTGAATTTGAAGAAGTACTGTATGTCATAACACGGCTTGAAAACAATAAAGCAACTGGTGCTGATGGAATTGCAGCTGAACTCAAAAAACAAGGTAGTCATGCGTTACATGTAAAGATATATGAAAAATTAAAACTAGTTTAGAAGACGGAGAAATGACCCCATGAATGGAAAGTGTCTTTATTAAAAGCCATGTTTAAGAAAAGAGACAAGTATAAAGTGTGAAAATTATAGAGGAATATCATTATTATCTACAAGCTATAAGATACTATCGTCGGTACTGCTAAACCAGCTAAAACCAAACATCAAAGACATATTGGGAGATTACCAAGTAGGCTTCGGACAGAACCAATCAACAATAGATCAGATATTCATTTTGCAGCAAATAGTACAGCAGAATTGGGAATATAGAAAAGATATACATAATGTATTTGTTGATTTTTAAAAAGCGTACGATAGTGTACATAGAAACAGTTTATGGAATGCTATGAAGGACTTTGGAATTCCAATGAAGTTAATTAGCATGACAAAACTATGTGTGAAAGACACTAGTAATTGGCAGACAGTCAGAAACTTTTCAAATAACTGGTTTAAAACAAGGTGATGCTCTGTCCCAACTTCTTTTCACTTTGGCTCTGGCAAAAATTATAAGGAAAATTGAAACAAGCATGTACTATAGGAGAAACTACAAGAATACTTGGATATGCTGATGACATTGATCTTGTAACAGAAAATTAACTAGAGACTATTAAAAAACTGACTCTCTTAAAAGAATCAGCTAAGAAAATGGGACTAGTTATTAATCAAGATAAGACAGAATACATGATAATAACTAGACAGGCAAAGGATATAAAATCTCACCAATACAAGTCGATCATAAGAAAATCAAACGACCTGAAACATTTAAGCACTTGGGTGCTGCTAAAATCAAAGTGTCTGTCTCGCAACATCAAGATCAAAATATATAAAGCGTTGATAAGACCAGTTGTTTTACATGGCTCTGAAACTTGGAGCACAACTAAAAGAGATTAAGCCTTACTACAGGTTTTTAAAAACAGTTTTGTGACGAATCTTTGAACCCATCAAAGAAGCAAACAACGGTGAATGGAGAGAGAGAAGCAAGAATGAAATTCATAATCTGTTTAAACCATCACTGGCATCATGAGAGCTAACAGAATGAAATGGTTGGGGCACATTGAAATAATGTCGAATGACAGAGGGGTAAAAACTGTATACCCGAGGAAGATGAATGGCCATAGACCATGAGGCAAACCAAGATAAAAATGGAGAGATAATGCCCATACAGACCAGCAAATACTTGATGTCCCCAACTGGAAAGAGAAGACCAACCACAGAGATAAGTGAAGGTGGGTAATATCTGCAGCAGTGAACCCATCCTGCAAAACCCATCCAACTATGCTAGTTACATTATTATTATTTAAAATAATTCTCAAAATTTGACTGAATTTCAATTTGTATTTCAGGATCACCGTTGGAGAAGAAAATGTTGACTAAAAAACAGTACCCCCTTTACTGTGTATTTAGTTTTAAGATCTATTTAACTATACTGAAAAACTGTTAGTAAGCTTGTACATCTACTTAAAACACGATGATTATTAATGTGCAACAACAACAACATTCATTATTTTAAAACAGCTGATACCCTGGCGACCACAAACAAACACACAAAGTTCAGTCGGCTGTTGCTGTTGCTAAGCTGCATGAAACTTCACTTCCGCCTGTGGCCTGTCAATGGACGACATCACTTAAAGCCGAAATAAGTAGTTATGCAGTAGTAGAAGAACATTATAGGGAAATTGAAACTAGAGTGTACTATAGGAGAGACTGCAAGAATACTTGATTATGCAGATGGCATTGATATCGTTAGAAAAAATGAACTAGAGACTGTAAAAACACTGACTTTTTTTTTAAAAGCAGCTCACAAAATGGAACAAGTTATCAATCAAGAAAAGACAGAATACATGATAATTACAAGACGGAAAGGATATAAACGCCGGCCTCATTCAAGTCGATAATTTGAAAATCAAACGAACGAAAACATATAAGTATTTGAGTGCGAACTTCAACATGCTGAGAGAAGAAATACAATCTGAAAATAAAGTATACTATGCCCTTCAACATTTGCTAAAGTCAAAGTGTCTGTCTCGCAAGATCAAGATCGAAATATATAAAACGTTGGAAGACAAGTCGTTTTATATGGCTCTAAAACTTGGAGCACAACTAAAAGAGAGAAGGTCTCATTACAAATTTTCGAAAACAGAGTGTTACGAAGAATCTTAGGACCTATCACAGATGCAAACAGCGGGGAATGGAGAGTGAGAAGCAACAATGAAACTCAAAATCTGTTTAAACCACCTTTGATCACCGGCCTCATTAGATCTAATAGACTGACATGGTTGGGACATATTGAAAGAATGTCATAAGAAGAAACTCCACAGGGGAGCATGTACAGCAGGAGTCTACCAATCATCAGCAGAAGTAATCTCTCCTCAACAAATGTTTCGGCCCACGAGCTCCTAGACATTTTCAGAGAGTGGGCCCACCTGAGTTCATGAAGCTCAGGGTTGGTTTCTCCTGCTGCACGTATTACAGGATGTTATCGGACAGGAACAAGACGAATTTGTGACTTTGCAAAAGGTACTGTGAGATACAAAGTCGTCGCGGTAGCATAATTAGAGCAGTCAGCTTACCTGGACGACCAAGTGGCAAGCTTACGTTTGATTTACCCGACACATGTTGGACTTTGTTGGCAGGTGGCAGAGGGACACTGGCAGACAATTCAGCCACGATGGACTTTAAGGGATAAGACATTCTTTTCCACTAGACACCCGGACCAGCTCATCGAGGCCCGTCCCCCACAACGTTTCGTTGTGTCCAGAGCCAGCTCGAGGCCCTCTCAACAACCTCGCCCAGTTGTTTTAGTGTTCGTTTGCGTTCATTTCCTCGTAAGCCTAGTTGTTTAATCACATTGCACATTGAAGTGGAAACGAGACCTTTTGCGCCTACCTCGACGGCGAAGATTCTTACTGTGTACGCTTCGTCTCTCCTCAGACCAACCGCTAAGTCACTGTATTTCTCGAGCTTATACGTGTGGCTTTCGTCCAATCGCGAGTTATACGGCACGGTCAGCTCAATCGGGATGAGCTGACGTTTCTCCGCAGAGTGTGTGACTATGCCAGGTCGCAGGCCAGTCTTCCGGATTAACTCAGGGTACTTTTCATGACCAGGCAGGTCAACCGCCAGTAACCAGTCCCTCGCACAGTCTAGCATCGATGGAGCGTATGCGACTTTGTTGAATTTACCTTTATAAATCTACCCAGCCTTAAGGAAGCGTACGGGGACGACGGTAGGACTGGCGCCAGCAAGTGACCCTCATCCTAGCTTGGTCCACAACGGCCGCTAACTCTTTCGGCACCTTGTTGTGGCGCCAAGTATACCTGCCTTGACCTAGGGCTTTTCTGCATGCGGACAGTACGTGCTCGAGCGTCTGTTTAGCTCTGCATAGCGGGCATGTCGGGTCATTAGTCGCACTCCACTTTACCATGTTGACACCGGACGGTACTAGTATTACTAATACATCGTTGGCAGATCGAACTATAAAGCTCAGTCGCAGCGGGGCCATTCTCCAGATCTCACCCCATGTGAGTATTCGTGGCAAGGCGCTCTAGCTGATCCACTGACCTTGCTGCGACTGTTGGGCAGCTTTCTGGACCCGAAACTCGTTTTCGGTGTCCCTGATCTGCTGTATCACAATGTCTCGGCGCTCTTTGGCTGTTGCTTTGGACCACCAACTGACTCTCCCGTGCCCTAGGCCTCGATGGTCGGCTTGAGTGTAACCAATACCTTCTCTTAATCTTAGTGCATTCTGTACAGATTCGCTCGCATCTAGGACCTTCCACTTGAC